AAAAAAATGAGAAAGACCAATAAATAAAAATAAATATCATATATACCGTGATATCTCTTGATATGTACACAATATATTTAGGCCAAGTTTTGTCTGCATTTACTTCTTTACGGACCATATTTCCTGCTTCTACATTGTGTGGTGGCCAATAAGTCTCACCTTCCATATTTTCATCCACTCTAATCAACCACTTTGTAAGGCCGATATCGTAATAAATATTACGTGTTGTCGTCATCATCAGGTACAAATTTTAAAACAACAAACTGAAATAAAACATACACATATACATTTAATGCATATACATTTATATGTGTATATATAATGATTTAAGATAAAACAAGTATAATGAAAAGTATTAATATTTTAGTCATCTATATATAATATAATGTTCATAATCAGTAAAAATTCAAAACATAGGCATAGTATGTAAAAGAGGAACTGAAACAAAAAATTCTTTGTAGGGTATTAACCAACATTTTGATTGAATATCTGCCAATGCCACTACAATTCTTTCATCACTCAGATTTGATACTTTAAAAATACGGAGATGAGATGAAGGAAAAGGATATACATAAAAATCTTCTTTTTTGTTAAACTTATTCGTAATTAGGTAGATATCTTTTCGTCTTTTCACAACATTTTGTAATAAAAATACATTTCCATCAATTGTCATAAAACAAGAGTCTCTCCGTCCAATCTTTAAAACGACATCACCAATGGAAATTTTTTTAAAATAAGAACCCTCAATGACCTCACCACGATAATAATGTCTATGTGACAAAGTAACTTCTTTATCATTAGTTGAAAGATGCACTGATACTGACACCGTTTTTTCTATATCACGACGCGCAACTTGCTGTAAAGGCTTGTAACCTGATTTAAGTAAACTTTTGAGAGATTTTAAAAAATTCTCAAAAGGAAAAGCACTAAATTCATCCAACGATCCATGAGACAAACATTCTTGAGCTAAATGAGCAAGTGCATGCACATTATATACCACAAATATTTTACCATAAATTACAATAGAATGATTAATAAACGCTTTTAGCAAATCATCAGCATAATAACACATGATCTCTGATTGAACAAGCATGGGACTGGAAAGAATGGTAAGAGCGCCATGCAACATCAAAAAATGACGGTAAACATTTTTATGGAGATTATCTTTAAAAACAACGATGCCATCATAAAGACATAGACGACGTTCTTCAGTAGCTTTATACATTGTCCATTCTTTTAGCGATCTTGGTTTTCTTACAAAATCACTTGGACAAGTATCTGCTATGGAAAGAAGAAGAAAAGATATATTCCATCTTATTTCTCTATGCAATTTCCATGGACCATTCCATGTAAGCCACACATCAAGCAATCGTCTAAACACGCCATGCCAAGCTAAGTGAAATGGATCTAATCTAAATTGAGAAACCATCCCTATATTAATCTGTTCAAGAGGTGATTGTCCACAATGATGAAGAGGTTGTTCCTTATTTTTAAATGATTCGTCTGTTCTTAAAGGTTCATTGAGTTCAATATAAACCCGCCTTGAATGTACCGTTTCTCCTATAACAATGCATTTTTCACATGCTCCGTATCCTCCATGTCCTATACAGCATTTCACTAATGAACGAGCAGGTGCATCAAGAATAAAATTCCTTATAAGAAATGGATATGTAATTCCATTGAAAGTATAACCATTTTGAAATAAATCTTCAACTTCATTAACAAAATCATTTAAGAAGTTTCTTACATCAGTAGGATCTGTTTTTCCAAAATAAATACTTATAACAAATGGCTCATTTTTTGAACCAATAAGACGACCTAATATTGGCCAAAATTTAAGAGGTGAACTTTTGGAGATTGGAAGTCCATCCATATTGACATCAATGCAAATTTGACGATATGTTTTTAAATATTCTTCCAACAACATAGCATCAAGATTAAATCGTATGCTTTTGTACCATATTTCAGCTTGTTCCATCTGTATAATATTTAAATGACGGGGGGTCTTTAATAATGACTTATAATTCTTCGGTAAAGTAGGATGCACTACATGCAATCTTAACAATAAGTTGTTCAGTTTTTCCATAGAGAGAACTCCCCCCTCCAACGCCCACTCACGGATTGTTTCTGTAACATACATTTCTTTAGCTTCATTGTAAGGAAACTGAAAAACACCATCATCATTGTCATTCACAGACCCAGTAGATTGCTCATTTTCATTGTAATCAGTTGTATTATTATCGCTACTAGATTCACGTAATTCTTCTTCACTATCAACAACAAAGCTATTATTATTCATTTCAAAGTCATCAGATTCTCTTGCATGTTTAATTCTATCATATAAAAATATGTTAGACGCAATCTCAGATTCTTGATTTTGTCCACAAAACATCTCAGGTTCTAATAACTCGTCGGAATTTTCATTTAAATTTTTATCTAATTTATTTGATTCCTCTCCGAA